CTTGGGTTAGACTCAACAAGCATCTTCAGAGCATCAATATCAATTTTAACATGTCGGCTGCCATCACAGTTTTTAAGGCTAAAGTCACCTGAATGAAATTTGCTGAACCATCATTGACACTTATGAATACAAGAAGGGAAACAATGTCTCTGTGGCCACAAAGAATATCAAAGAAGTTTATGGAAATGTTTTGAATGTTCATGCCAAATGTGTATTTCATTGTGTGCCATCACTATAACGAATTAGAGTATGTTAAACTTTACACATTATATAGGCTACTCTAATGTGACATTTAGGTGGTTCGTTTAGCTATTATAAATGATGTATGGTTTTGGGGGGTTGGTTAATGAAATTGTTCCAAAATGCAACATTAATTTCTTGATGACCTAAAATGTATTTTCCAGAATTTAAAAATAAAGAAACTTTGCTAAAACTTTATTCTGTTTTAAAATGAAAGACTTACTATGAAAATTGTCCAAAATTTGATTAGTAATGCTAGCTATTCAAAGAATGAAAGTGGACATGAAATCAAATCCTTAAAATATATGAAAAATGATTGGAAAAAACTGATCATAGCTGAAATTTAAAAAATGCTTCATAGTAAAACTTTATAAAATGTTTTAGTTGTTTGAAATTCAGCCAGTTTTCTTTTAATATTTTTTCTAAATTATCATGGTCCTTTTCTCTTTGGTTTAACTTATTTCACTTGTACTTAAGTGTGAAACAAAATAAGGCAGGAGAAAAAATCAATCTGATTCAGACTATTGTGTGCAGAGAGAGATGATCATTAGTGCAGGCATTTTCAAGTAAAGTTTTATTCATCTGGCAAACAAGATGATGTATCGTGACCATTTGATATATTACATGTCAGAAATAAACAAATAAACAAAACATATAATAATTTAAAGTTCAGTATTTGATATTATATACAAACTTAAAACCAAAATTAATAAAGGAAAACATTCTGATACAAGTAAGAATGAAATTGATTGTGGTCTATCTATTACACCAGTTTTAAAGAAATAGACATATACTTGAATTATAGCCACATTATAATTTGTTATTAAAATTATATAGTAAGGTATTTTTGAACAGTGTTTATTTAGAAAGTACAATAGCATCATGCTTATTTGAATAGTTTTGGAATGAATACTTTTATCACCACTTTCCCCTTCTCCTCATTAGAAAATTTAATGCACACAATTTGTGATACAAAAAGACTCCTTAACTTTCTTCATTTCATGAACTTTTATTGTTGTTAGTTAATTGTGAATTTGCTTTTAATTATACATTTGGTTCATTGTCATTTCCAGTAATGCGAGATGGTTTAGTTAATGGCCACAAGTGTTCAAGTAAATTGTGGATTGAATCATTGTTTACAATTTTCCTTTTTCATCAGCTGCCACTAGTATGAAATGGATAGAAGTGAAAATGAAAGAATTGGGTGTAGCTTCAAATCCAAACTACAAAATCTTATTCTACCTGGATAGTGCTGCAATGATTAGTATCCATACTCCTAAGTATGGCCTCATTGACGTAAGTATACCATTAGAACATTTTATCATTGCTTATTAGTAAGTTTCACTAAAGGTCAATCTTACCCTCGAAATAATTTTTATGGAGAAAAGATTGAAATATGTTACATTTACAATATATTTGACTGACATTTCTTGTGCATGAATTTAATAAAATCATTTGATGACTCCAATGTTTTTAAAATGCAAAATAATTTATTGTATAAAGTTAAAAGCAAATATAAAACTAAGAAACTCTACATGTTTTGGTGAACATGCTCCACAATCTACAGGAGACAGGAAATTTCATTTATACACTTTAGTAAATGTACATACACAATTTACATATTGTACAGTGACATCATTTACAAAATTGATTTCCAGAAATTCACTTCCGTGGCACCAAGACCCAAATCTCTATTCAAAATAATTTTGTTTTTAGTAATTTCAAATGATTCTCTTATGTTTAATTCATTTTCTGGCTTAACTTCTTGAAGTATTTTTACATTATCCCAATCAATATTATGTGAAGTGTTTGCTACAAGTTCTGCCAAGGCCAATTCAGTAGTTTTTAATTTATCAACAGCATTTTTTGTGTTCTTTAATTCAATATTTCAAATTTTGATACAATATCTTACCTCCTTTCACAAAATGCTTTTCTCAATTAGTACTGCCCTATATCAGTGTAAGGTTTCAAGGCCCTCTTCTAGGCTTCTACCTCCTGCTTCTGCATATCCACATGTAAATGCTTATGCAGCAGCACATCATACCACTCAGTTGAAAGTAGGGTGGTAGCATTCTGTGGGTGTCGATGGCATATAGCACTTCCTACTATGGACCTGATATACAATTCCAGATGCTGCCAGGTTTTGGTTGTAGCTCTATGCTGTATATATATATATATATATGTGTGTGGGTGTGTGTGTATATCTGGGAGTTTGCTTTTTCCCACTGTGACATTCCTCCCTCCTCCGGATGTACATTACTGGTGGGTCTGGTGTTGTTTGGAGACGGCCAGTCACAATTAGAATCATGTTGATGGTACAATGCCCATCCTATTGCGACCTGATGTACAATTCCAGATACTGCTAGGTTTTGGTTGCAGCACTCTGCCGTGTCATGACTATATATATTGCAGTTTGATCCTCAGGCTGAGACGTTCCTCCTACCTACCATTCTCTGGAGGATGAGGTTCCCAGGGGTCAGGAGTTGGTTGGAGATAGTCCAGCAAAGTAAGTATTCAAATGTTCTCGCCAATAACCCTTTTCCTTCCATGGACTGGATGAAAAATGCCCAATGCTGTTGGATTTTGGACTAGAGGTGCACCCCAGGTTTGCAGTCCCTATACTGTCTGCTGGTTGCTGGTTCCCAGCAGATCTGATATTGGTTGTAGCTGAATGCAGCACATGTGTTCCCATTTGTACAGCCTGGTATCCTACTCCTACTGAAGACAGGAAGAACCATACCCAATGCTGCCAGGTTTTGAACCTGGAGACATCATCCCACTAGGACTTTCCTCCTTCCTACCATCTGCTGGATGTTGGTTCATGGTGGATTAAGTGTTGGTTGTGTTGGAAATCTATGAAAGTGAAGGCAAACTTTTGTATGGAAGCTATTCTTCTACCAATTGTTATTTCGAGGTAAAGAGGTAAGTGATCCTCTGCCTACCGCAGAACTGGTGTACAATTCCATATACCACCAGATGTTGAATGAGGTTATACTACCACTATGGTCTTTTGTGCCCTAGCCACTCGACACCCAGGGTTCCCATTAATCAGTAATACATATTATGGGATTCCTTCATAATATGATATCTTACCTCATCTAACAAAACAGCTAGAATCCCACACTCAGCTGGCGGAGAGCTGGTGAAAAAATGATCCCCCTTTAGGAAGTGACATAGAGAGACCATGAGGTGTAAAACCAACAAAGAAAATATGACGCCTCAGTGGGAGACTGCACCACATCTGATCTAGATATACTCTTCTTTCTTTTATGACTGTGTCATGAAAAACATGAAAAAAAGGAGGAAAAACATGAAAATTTGTTTGTTTGTTTGAAATTAAGCACAAAGCTACACAACGGGCTATCTGTGCTCTGCCCACCACGGGTATCGAAATCCTATTTCTAGCATTGTAAGTCCACAGCCATACTGCTGTGCCACTGGGGGGCAAAACGGAAGTTAACATTTTCCTAAACTGAAAATGTATTTCTGATATATATACTTACCTCTTCTCACACTTCCCACCCAGCCTCCCCACTTCTAGTGATATGGGGTGTAGGTCTTCTGACCAATCTTGAAGTGGTTAACAAGTGGAAATGTGGAGAGTGCGCTGATTATAATAGAGGTTGGGTCATGCTCCTATTCATGGGGAGCTGCTGCATAATCATTTATGTGTGGATATGCAGAAGTGGGAGGAGGAAGGATAGTGGTGAACACTGAAAATTTGTGCCAATAGAGGGTAGTGCTAATCGAGAAAAGCTATTTTGCGAGCAGAGGAAAGTATCTATTGGAAATACATTTTCAGTTTAGGAAAATGTTAATTTTCTACTTGTCTGTCTGATGTAACCTAAACTACAACTACAAGAGATTTTATATATTCCCCATCTACCCTTCAATTTAATCTTTAAAGAAATGAAATCAAAATTGGCAGCCAAACTGGTAGCTACACTTAGCATTAACCCTTTCATGATGGGTCACAGGTGAAAGACCATGTCATCTTGTTTGTTGACTCGCATTAAAAATTTTATTGAACTACTATTTTATGAATTTATGTCAGTAAGTTTGGTATTAAACTGCAGATTATAATTCAAATTTTAGAACTTTACATTATTCAATTTCTTAATTTAAAAATAAATATAAAAAACACAGATAAACATCGATTTTTCTGTGTCATGTGGTATGTTGAATGCAGCACAGGTTCAAATTAGATGTTTGTGAAGTCAAAATACTAAGTCTATAGTTTCGTACAAATTAGAAACTCAAATTGGAAATATTGACAAGCTAGAATATAAAATAAAAAGTTATTATCTTATCTATTTCCCAATATATTGCTCATGTAATAAATCAAACACAGTGGCACACTGCCTACCTCTTTTCATTTTTGGAAATGCCCCCTTATATACACTTACTTCTATATATGGCATGAATAACCAATCAGAAGCTCAGAATTTCACCCTAGTGGTTTTCTCAGCCTTTTCAACGTAGCTAGTACCATTTCTTTCTTTTGAACCAAGATTTCAATGAGGTAGGTTGTGTCTTTAGTCTGCTTGAAATTTCATATTTTTTAGACCTAGTTACAGCTTGGTTACTAAGCTTCATAAATTACAGTACAATTCTGTGGCATTGATGTAGTAATTTATGATTTTTTTAGTTATTCAAAAATATATATATAAAACCTAAACCTCCACGTGCAAAATCTTTAAGGGTTTAGCAACGTACGACAAGCAGCAACCGAGTACAAAGGTCGTAACTAGAAGAGATAATTGTTTGCTTTATTTCTTTAGTTACTGTTCTATGTTTTAGGAAAAATAACTTTAAGAACTTATTTCAAAATAGCAATAATATATATACATATGTAATGTATAATAATTGAAATGTGGCTGTAAATTACAAAATACTAGTCGACTAAAACACAGCCAAGACAAGTTACTTTGTACAGACCAAAGGTCAGTTTTATGTTATTTCATA